CGTTAAAAAAACCAAAAATATATAATAACTGACAAAGAATCATATTAATTTGTATACCTTTTTTATTAAAAATCAAATTTGTTAAACCTCTACAATGGGGGATCATGTCAGCATTTATTATAAATAGATTACAATATTAATGTGATTAAGCCATAATTATAACTTTCCAGCACATAAAAATCACTTTTATCTCCCTTTGAAATAAAAGACATTTTTTTAATTAAGTTACATTAGCTTTCTTGATCAACTCAGTTAATATTATTAATCTTATAAAACCTTTTCTTTATGTTGATGCGAAAAAATAATTAAGTATTTTAAAATATGATTGTCTTATGATCAACGAGTCTTTCAAGGATACATTTTATAAAGATATAAATTAGACCATTAATATAATTCACATAAAATATTAACATTATCTTTAACTCAAAAATTAATGACAATCCATGTTGTTCAATTTTGTCATATTTATTTATTGTGAAACTTAGATTTATAAGTGAATTCCCAACAATTTTGACATACGTTTACTTCTCATGTTGCCATTTTGTAGACTTTATTTTATCTTGGTGTAATATTTATTCTTCATTCAACTTAGTAAAATCTAAAAGCATTACCTATTCCGAACATGTCTTCACATATGAAGATGTTGAAAAAAAAACAACAACGCCGGTTTAGAAGAAAAAAAATCAAGTTATTGAATTCAATCAAACTGCAATTAAACAATTTGAAGTAGAGACTTTACGGAATGACCAATATTTTCATGAACACAGTTTGGAACGTATAAAAGAAAAGTTAAAAGATTCGCACAAACACAATAAAAACTATCAGGAATCATATAGAAACTATAAAATCATAAGAATGAAAGAGAAGAAGAGGAGAGTTTGGAGGGTTTTGAATTTTTGGTATAATATATCAAATAAACTTGAAATAAATAAAAACAACATGAAATGAAAAATCTTGGCGGTAGCTTAGAATCCTGATGGACTTGCATGAAAAATAATTTTCTGACCACAATCACTACAATTGGATTATTTTAGTGTGTTTTTTTGGACCAGAGAATGGGTTGTGTCTGTGTGTGGCCTTCTTCACCAAATGAAAAAAATATAAAATTCCAGAGAAAGACATTGAAAGGACATCACTTCAATTAATTGGATGGTATTGTGTCTATTATCTTTACATGCACATTAATGGTGCTGACTGTGACCTGTGCTATGTTCTTAGCTTTAAATTACAGAAGATTGATAGATTTTTTTTTGGTTAAAATATTGAAATGAGAAAGTAACAGATAGAAATACCTAGATTCGAGAATAGAAGAGAAAGTAAAGTATGCTTTCTTGCTGTTCTTTCTCAGCAAACAGAGGTTTTCTATAGCAGTTGCATCAGATTTACATCACTGCAATTAGTTCTTGAATGACAACAACTACAGCAGATATACCGAATGAATTTCACGCTATATACAAATTTTCCATAAACAACTTCTTAGTACCAAAGAGGACAAGATTACACTCTCAGATTCCAAGCAAAAAAGCGATTGAACGATTAAAACTGCTGCATCCAGTAATTCGGCTTCTACCAAATTCATAAAATAAAATTGAACCACAGATGTTTAATCAGAAGCAGTGATAATATTAACATACAGAATGTATAAACTGCTACATCTCGGATATTCAGATGCAGAATTCCACATTATTCACTAGTATTGAATCAAGTATTCTACTAACATGGTTGATTTGGCAATTACCATCATTTATATCACAAGTTGAAAAAGTTAGAAGTTAGGAATCACCCCTAATTGGTCTCATTCGGGAACTTCAGGCACTTCGTAAGATTCTGCAGTAACCTCGGAGAGCCACAAACCAGGAAAAAGTGTCTGCAGAAACGAAACAAAACCAAGCCAAAAATTAAACAAGATTACGAGAAAGAAAGCATGAATATAGTTGATAATCCATGGGGTTAATGGTATTATTACATCCAAATTCTTCTGGATGATTCTGGGCCTCTTCTTGGGCCTCCTGGGAGGCCTGGTTCCGAGCAGGGCCCAGAAATCGTGTTCCACCTCCTCCTTCGTGAGTGAAACGGAAAACTTAGTTTTTTCTTCAATCTTCGTCGTCTTCTTCTTCTTCATCTCTTGGGTGAGGGAATTGAGCTGGTTGGTGTGATGCGGTGCCTTGCAGGCGGCTCTTCGTGTTCGCAAATTCCAGGGTTTGGAATTGGGTTCTTGGAAGATGGAAACTTTGAGGTTGTCGGCGGCGACTCTGAGATCGAGTATGAGCTTCCTGCGAACGGCGGCGATATCGTCATGATCGTCGGCGACTTTGACGCACCTGAGGAATCTCTGGTTGCCCCATTTGAGACAGGGCATGGGGAAGTTGTGGAGAGGTTTGGATCTTTCCGGGCCCATAGCCATGATCGTGGTTTTGGTGCTCGATGATCACCTTCTCCTGTACCTCGTACTCTGTTTAACGAGTAGTTGTTGTCTCAGGAAATTGGAGGCAGAGAAGCCAAATTAATATGAAACAAAAACAAAATAAAACGATGGTGGTGGCGTTCCGTTCGAGTTGGAGTTGCCAAACTGCAACTTTTCTATTCCTAACGTTGTTTTTTTATAATTTCCTAACATTCTTTTTATTGTCGCAATATTTCTTTTATTTAACTGATTTTTATTGTTTTAAAATGTAAACACTCAAGTCCCATGAGATTATATTGTTAAATGATTTTTTAATCCAATGACGCCATCTGAAATTTATCCATCAGTGTCAAACTCCACTTTCGAAGGGCCTTCTGTATAATTTTAATTTTTTTAATAATGCAAGCACAATATTTACCTTAAAAAGAATTATTGATCAATTAAAATAAAGGACATTATAAATGGACTCATTATTTGAATAAAAAAACTATTGTTGCGAAACTTCTAGAATTTTTTTTCTTCATTGTTCAACAAATTATTCATAGGTGTAGACAAAAAAATCCACTTTTTGTCAATTTGATCCATTTGTTCCAATAGGTTCTATTTAAAATTTGTTTTTATTAAAGATTCATTTCATTTAAAATCCATTTTATTTAATCTATTATCTCTGTTTTATAACTCTTTTAAATTGAATATTCATTCTTGTGAATCCAAATTTTTCAATATAAAAAAGTCAAAGATTAAGATGAACTAACCCAAACAAAGTTGAGATGAACTAATCTGAATTAAGCGAACAAGTTGATTTAGATGCAAGATCGAGCTAAGACAAATAAGACGAAAGGCGGCCTAAAACTGACGCAAACGTAAAAGTCAAAATGAGTTGACCTAGATTGAATGTCGAAATTACCCTGCTCAAGTTGAAGGTTGACATGATCTAACCCTATTCAAAGGTCAAGACGGACCAAATAAATGAAGTTGACTTGAATTGACCTGAGTCGAAGGTCGAAAGGGACTGACGCTAGCTAAAGGTCGAAAGGAGTCGATGTCAGCTGAAAGTCAAGACTGACACTTAGGACTGAAGATCAAAAATGACTAGTTTAACCCGATGATGGTCGAAATGACACATTTGAAGGTCGACTGAGACAATCTCTTGACTGAAATTCAACTAAGTCAACATTTACCAAAATTTGACTGAATTTGATCAAATCAACCCTAACTAATAACAAAACAAGTAAAAGTCGAATTTCTATTATAAATTAAATAATGAATAAACATTATTCGTACGTGACCAATTGTACCATTCCAACATAACTTTTTTTCTTGAAACTGTTCTTCAAAATGTTGAAGAATTAGAAAAACTAAGGTATGAACATTCTTGGATCTGGGCAGCTTAAGATGAATATTGAGAGGCCTTGAATCAGAGAATTTTGTATTTGTCTAGCTGTCACTAGGGAGACAACAAAACTACAAGAACCAAAAGAGGATATAATGCATTTCATTGCGTCTTCATGCGTAGTTGTCTATATATAACTAAATGTTTTTATTTTCCTTTACAGATATTCTTAAATTGTATTCAACTACGAAGAGAAAAAAAAGCATTTACTCTAACTATGTATTTTTCTCATCTGTAGTCGCCAGAACGATCAGATTTGTGATGTAAAAATACATTTGAAACAAAAACGCAAACTGATAGATGGGTATTGCCATGCTGTATAAGGTTTTCTTTCGCAAATCCATTGACTTATGTCCTAGCTAGAAAGATATAACTAAAATCAGACATAAATTCTTTTAAAAATTATCAATAAGTTATTTATTTAATATTTTTTTATATTAGCTTGTTTAGAACTAATGAATAAATAATTAAAATAACTGTTTCTCTAGAACAAAAGTTGAGGACAAAACCGCCCAATTTGTAGGGTTTTTTAAAAAAATAGGGGATAACAATATAAAATTAATTGTGAGCTAAAATTTTCATAAAAGTAAAAGTTAAGCTTAAAAAATACAAGGAAAAGTTGACTGCTAAGTGATAAATATTTATATATATAGATAGAATAAAATATATATATATATATATATATATATATATATATATATATATATTGATATTATTGATTTTATAACTGATTAATACAATAAAGCTTCCTGAACACTGTCATTTAATGAGACAATTACATTAAATGTTTGAAATGTAATCTTTGAAACATGATTTTTCAGAACATATTTTGGAAATAAACTTTTCAAAATGCTATATAATATTTTTCGAAATAAAATTTTCAAACTACCTCTACAGCAGTGATCTCACAATCAAACACCAAAACTTGAGCTGATCTTATTTTAAAAATAAAGTTATAAATTATTTATGAATTATTATTATTTTGGTAAATATCTAATTAAATAAAAAAAGAATAATATAAAGAATCCAATTAAATAATCGCACTATATGTATATATATAAAGTATGATTGATATACTTTTACTACCTACTCTCTTCTAACTCTCTCTTTTTCAATTATCACTTCCGAAATTTAGATTCCAAATGATGGATATATAGCGAATAACACAGAAATAAGGTGAGATAGAGTGCTACGAACGCATCAGTCAGAAGCACCTCTAGCGACGTAGCTGGGAATTTGGAGAAAATTACTCAGCGTGATCGCGGTGAAGTCAGGGTGCACTTAAACGAAGATAAAGAAATGAATATGGACAGCAACAATATCCTTGCAGAAACTAAAAAGTAGGAAGAAATTTGATCTGTACACAATGCTATAGAACTGATTAGGGGCTTCTGTTATACTAATAAAGAGGTCACTAAATTTCGTCATGCGTCCGCATTATATATACGACGAAAAAAATAAGAGGGCTCCTAGTTGTGGCAAAATTTGAATTCCTATTTTGCTATAAAGTATTTACAAACTATCTACCTCCCATCAAAAGAAGCATACTAAGAGCAGCTGGAGTTTGACGTCTCACACTTGATAACCCGGGTATTTTAAGAGCCACAAAATTCACATTTGTGGTACAACCAGTGGAAGCGTGAAGAGCCCTTCCGATCGCAGTCATGGCAGAGTATGTCCTGCATTTTGTTATTACATAACAGGCTCAACAGACAATCATCTTACAAATTCTTTGCTCTTCAACTAAAATGCCAAAATTCTTTTTCTTTTTCCATAAAATCCACATTAGCTTCCGAAAGGAACTGCGTGAAGAGTAAAATGCAAGACATACAAAAAAGTATTCACCTGACAGCGTTCCCTGTACTCTTCAGGAAGCTCCTCAGCAGCCAATAGGGCATCAAGCATACCAAAGTAAACCTAGGTAGGTAAAAAATAAGTATACCGAGTACCTCTTTAAGAACTTCAATTGATTAGACACAAATTTTCTAATTATTTCCCTCATTTTTTCAACGATTTTTTATTCTCAAAAGGAATAAAAAATTAGTTAAAGATCAGTAAACATATACCGTTGAAGTTTTAATTTTTCCAAACTTTTACGTTTAACTGAAATCTATGAAAGACTCAACTTGAGAACTCACAAGTACATGTTCGAAAGATACTAGAGCATTATTAAACTGATGGCCCTGTTTGGTTTTCCTTTCATTACTTTTGTGCATCTATAAATTTTTTCTTTTTTTTATGGGGAATAATAAAGGTGGAGAATAAGGCTTAGTTGAGTGTAAAAGAAAAGATTAATGGAAGAAAATTATCTTACCGCCATATCTCCCAATGACTTGCTGCAGATTGGACATGTGTAGTGACTGCACGTGTATGCCTAACGTAATATACCAAAATATTATCAATAAAATAATATTTTCCTAAATAAAAGGAAAATCAAAATTACATATATCTATTTTATTTCTGTCAAAACCAAACCAAATATTACTAAACCCAAAACTAATAAAATAAGATTTTAATGAATCTTTAAATTTTAAGTTAATCCCAACATGTTATCCTCTCTAAACTTGGCGATTTGACTCCGTATCATTCCCTCGTGAGGTTGGACAAACATGTGGGTGCTATCCAAGTCATGTATTATGAACTTATCAGATGCAGGAAATGAAGCATTCATATTGATGATATATTGTGCCATGGGAATGTCACTGCACAAGACAATTTAGCCAATCATTGATGCAGATTACAGAAGTGAAAGCAAAAAATAATTAAAAGTAAACCATGTTCACTCCAACTATGGTAATTTGATATCCCATTAGTGACTGGTTGTTTTTATGTGGAAAAGAGAAATAAACAATTATGATTGTTGTTAACATACTTAATTGTTAATAAACCAAAACTTATGGCAAGTGGTTTTTTACCCTGTAAGAAGGAAAAAACAGTCATTATAGTTTTAGTATGTAGAAGTTCCAACAATAGCTAGTTGTAAATATAATCATTTGAATATTTGGCTCACAACAGTCATAATTATACAACTTTCCAAGAGGTGATACCAGGAAATGAAGACACCTTTGTTGGCATTGACCATGGTGTATAACCTTCCTGGAAAGAAAAGCTAAGACAAGTTACAACAGACACCATAACATTCGTCATCGTTATATATGTACGTATATATATACACACAATCAAAAATGTGAAAATTTTCAAATTTTGACCTTTTACATGAAATTTGAAATAATCTATTTTTAAGTAGTTAAAAATACAATGGAATTAATTCATAATTAGTTAAACGATATTAGTAGTTACAAATACAATTTGAAAATAGGGCCGGAAAAAATAAATACTCTCCATTAAAAATATTGTCACTCTAATCTTAAGAACTTCCTATTATGATTTAGTTATAAAAGGATTGCAAATGGATTTCAATTTCTTTTTAAATACATTTGTGAGTGAATTCATTGTTTCCAAAAGGCAAGGTACTTATTAGAAATTAGAAAATAATATTGCCAGTTTTTGAAGAACGATGATTTTTCATAAATAAACCAATAACATAAACGAGCGTAAGTTTATTTTAAGCATAACTGTTTAAAAATGTCGTGTGTTTTTCTCATCCAGAACGAAAGCACCACACATTGATTTTACAACCTTAACGTAGATGAGAAGACTATTTACATCTAGGTTTAAACCAGTACAAATTTGCGCATCTAAGTTAGATTTAGCAGGTTCAAAAAACAACGAAGATTGGCGGTTGGTTCTATGAAGAACCCAATTGCTTTGAACAAAACGTAACTTCACAAAGACACTAAAATCTTCAATCTATAGAATTAAATCATGATAACAGTAACATAGATAAGTAACTGAAATAAAAATGGTATATATATATATATATATATATAATCGAAAGTCTTCTGTTTTAGATCTCAAATGGAAGACATTATAAATTAATGAACAGATATTAAAAGAGGCTTTCTCCATCATCCTAAAGTAAATTTTATATAAAAAGCAAAAGACTTAGATACTAATTTGATTTTGTTAGTAAAGTATTTTCAATGCGGTGTTCGTTTTTTTTTTCAATCAAGTCCTAATTCTTGTTAATTTAATTTATTTTAATCTTTTTTACTAATACCATTTAAATAGACATCCTACTCACATTTCATCATCTATTTTGAACCATGTTAATACTAAATTAAACAAATTTAACAAAAATCAAAATTTACTTGAAAAAAAAAACCAACTTAATATTTAAGTCAAATTAAAATAGAAGAAACATTGAACATTTTGAAAATAGGATCGGAAAATAGGTTTATTTTTATTTTCGTTTCATTTGTTTTTTTTTTTATTTTCTTAGCAGTTTTTCTTTTTTTAGTTACGGGCTGTTAGGAGGCCCATAGGCATGAGAAGTAGGAGTTAATAATTTTTACTTTTAACTATTTAACTTTTTTTTTTTTTTTTCTAAACCCTAGTTCCCATTTAACTTCCCCTTTTTACTCTTCCATCAGCCGCATCCAACTTCTTCCTCACAGCACACATCAAAATTGTTCTCTTCTGTTGGAATTCATTTTCCATTTTTGATGCTTCTAGGTGTGCTTTGCGGAGGGTGTTTTGTGGCTGGAGACAGGTTAGTTTTTTCTTCTTCGTTTTTGCTGTTTAGGTGCTGTGAACATGCTGTTTGATTTTGTTTAAGTTTTGTTTCCTGTATTCGTGTGAAGAAAATAGGAGGAGAGGGTGTGAACGGATATGGGATATCCGTCTATGTAGGTTCGAAACATTGAGTAATGAATTGTTATGTGTTTTATAAATGTTCAGAATTAGTTTAGTGTAAGTTAAGGTTACTGGTTGTGACTTAGTCGAATTAATTCATGGATAAAGTTGAAGTGAAAATCTTATTTAAGAAAGGAAGAAAGAAGTTTTTGTTATATTGTCATGAACATAAATATTATATACCGATAATGATGTATACGGGTATACTGTAGGTATTATTATTTTGTGCTGGTTTTTATTGAATGATGATTTCTAGGCTGGTGAGCTTGGTTAATATTAATGATACAAGCCTTGGTTGTGTACATATTCATAATATTATGATATGAGATGGGAGATGGTTTTGTTATGTGAATTGATAATTGTTTGAAACTAGGTAGATAGAATATAATTATAAGTATATTCATTGCAATTTACTAGCTAATCTGATGATTAAATTGTTAACTGCCATCTCGGTTAAACCCGTTTTTCATTGGAATTTTTGGTATTTTAAAGGGCTGCTGGAATATCTGATGTTAAGCTTATAGAATCTAATTATTGTGGATATACCTTCTTTAGATGTTCTATGCAGATTTAAAGGTAAAAATCTAATGACAATAATGTTTGTTTACGTAATTATTTTTTATCAAATATATTCTATGATTTGTTACTGGATGAGTGGAAAAGTATTATTGTGTTTAAAAGTTGCTGTTAGACTAAGTATAGACTAAGTATAAATATTCAGGATATATTGCTTAGTGTACTCAATAAATTTTAATTATTAGTAAACCATTACTAGTGTTGCGGCTTATTGGTTAGGTAAGTAGTCTATGAAAATGTGTAGAATAAGTTAACATTGGTTGCTCATGATAATTTACTTAAAATTTCTTTAGTGTTAGGATATTTATCCTATTTTAGCATCATTATATTGTGTCTAGGATTACCCTATATTGTTTTTAAGATTACCCTATTTATCATGATTATATTGTGTCTAAGATTACTCTATTTATCATGATTATATTGTGTCTAGGATTATCCTATTTATCATGATTATATTGTGTCTAGGATTATCCTATTTATCATGATTATATTGTGTCTAGGATTACTCTATTTTTCATGATTATATTGTATCTAGTGTGACCCTATTTATCATGGTTATATTGTGTCTAGGATTACCCTATTTATCATGATTATATTGTGTCTAGGATTACCCTATTTATCATGTACTTTTGTATCAATTTATTTTTATAAATAGAAGATTGTGAGAGGGATCAATCAAGTCTTCTAGAATTGTTTTATAGTTTAATTCTCAAGGGTGTTAGATTGATGATGTATGTGTTCAATACTACCTTGAGCTGGTTTTAGTGATATAATTATTAGTTAACGTTTTTCAGAATGCGAAATTACATGTAGACATGATATTACTTTAAAAATTGAATGTGCTATATATGATGTTGAATGTGAGTGTGACTTGGTTGAATTAATGTGGACAAAGTTGTGGCAAATGGTATATATTATGTTAAAGTGTGCTAGTTTATATACGAGCATGATTATATTTTATGACTGTTCGAATCTGTTGGCAGCTTGTTTGAAACAAACTTGAAAGTCAAAAACAATTACTTTAAAGTAGTAAAATGGAAAGCTATGTGTCTAACGTTTAAATAATATCTTTTTGTTTATTATAAAAAAAATAGAAATCACTGGTAGTTGGAGGAGTAGTTAATGCGAATAAAGTTAAGATTGGTGCACAACTCTTGACGACACAAACATTCCAATTGGATTGGATTTGGTTTCAATAGACTTTAATTTTATGGGTAAAGTAGAAAAAAATAATATATATATATATATATATATATATATCACAATAATAATAAGAAGGAAAAGTTATGTATATTTGTATTAATTTTATTTATTTATTTATTACATACTCAATAATGAAAGAAAATTAATTAATTTGTTGACATTAAAATGATTTGTTGTTGTGCAACTGTGTTAGTATTGGGAAATAATTATTTGAAATTTGATAGTGAATCTTTAATTGATTTGAGTGTTAAGTACATTTGAAGAATTAGTCTACACTCATTAACCTACGAGAAAGAGGGGATGACATTTCATAGGGTATTTTATGATATTTATTCCATTATGTAATTTAAAAGAAGTTAATTTGGGTTTTAAAACAATTGTATTTTTGTTTGTAAAGAGAATTTTACCTTTTATTTGATTTTTGTGCTATTAGGGGTCTGGTTGTCCATGACTACATAAATGAATTTTTTTCGTATTGTCAATCTCATTTTCATTGATGCAGATCTTACCGTTCTTGAATTCTTCAAGAACTACTGTTCCTCGGTATTATCTAACAATCCTTTTGTTTGGTATAATGATTAATATTTTATTTATGACAATAAACCATTGTCTTCTTCTTATCCGTTCAATTTGAATCATGTGCAGTTACGACATTCTTAATCTTAGGAGAAACTATGGTGCATGTGATAGAATGAAAGACAATAATTGATCTAATAGTGATGGAGATCATATGTCGTTTGTAAATGGTCATGAATTCATAGACACACTTAAAACATATTAATATTTCTGTTATCCGTAAGTTGCAATTTCTTTATCAACTTTTTAATTGATAAAAAATTTAAATTTTTTACAATAATTATTTAAATTTTAAATTTTTTTACCATAATTATTTTAATTTTGAAACTTTTTACATGTGCAAAAATATTTGAGGATTATAGTTACTTTTCTCCATTTGAGGCATATAAATTAGGAGCATGCGATTATTGACGCAAAACTTTGGATGGTATTACCTAGGTTATATGAAGAGTAAGACAATTATGAACAAAGCTTAATTGGAAAAAAAGGAGAAATGAAGAAAGAAAAAGGATAAAATGGACAAAGGAGAGCTTCAATTTGTTGAAGCTATTAATTGGTTTAGGAAGTATGTAATATTGTTTATTTTTTATCTATATTTGCTTTTTTTTTTGTGTTGACCTTAGTTGTTATTTAGATGCCAAAGAAAATATATGAAGCTATGAACATGCTTAGTCTAGAGGCATGTAGTCAATTAAAGGTTTGTTTTATGTGCATTTCATTTTCTTTTTCACTTCTGAATTATTATTAACAAAACTTAAAATTTGATTGACATACACCTACAGAAAAAAATCTGAGACAAAGGCAGCAGGAGCAACAACAGTCACATCCTTGAACATTTATCTTCTCTTGTAAGAGTAACAATAGTTGTAACACTAACAAGATAAGAGAAAATAAATGTTCAAAGATGTGACTGTTGTTGCTCCTATTACTCTTGTCTAAGATTTTTTTCTATGTCAATTAAATTTTAACTTTTGTTAACAATAATTCAAAAG